GCATAACCAGGCAAGCGCTTTCATTCGGTTGAACCCTGGATATCCTGCATGGAACTGCCGCAGTACTCTTTCTTGCCACGCCTACTGGATGACTACTCTCTCTCTGAGAAGATGACGCAATCGTTCATAATGGAGAGCGAATGTCTTCGCTGATAGAATGGCTGCATTTCGGAAGATGAACACGAACGTGGCCATCTGGTTCTGTGAGAGTGTGTAACTCTCTTCAGGACTGGATCTCGAAGCGTTTCGGCCCGCACAGCATCGGCTGTAACTGGCAGACCATGTAATGCCTCGCTCACCAGGAATTTGACATCAGGCTCGATCTCAACTAAAGCTATGATGGTATCCTCGTCTGCTTGCTGCTGGGAATCGATGAGGCGTGACAACGCATCTGCCTGGCCCATCGAACCCGTTGACTGATAACGGATGTCAAAACCATAGCCCAGCAAGGTGGGTGCCCATCGTTGGAGTCGATCGGCTGTATAGGCAGGAATTCCCTTCTTCGAGCTGAAAATGACCAGTAGCGGCTTGTGATCCATCAAGAGTTTGAAGCGACGACCATACAGCATCTTGTGAAACTTCACAGCAAACACTGGTCAGTGCCTCCTTCTCGATATGACTACTTTCTTTTGGCTTTCGTCAGCGTCCCGGCGGCATGTATGATCGCCTTTTGAGATCCATTTGAGAACGTATAGGAAACTACGGCACCGATCCCTAGACTCGACGCGTCTGTGGTGAGGACAATTTCTGGGGACGGGTCAAAGTGAGTCAGGAGTAGGTCTGAAGCCAGCAATGACTTGACCCGCTCGAACGCAGTCTGGCATTCTAGCGTCCAATTCCAGATTTGGCCGTTGTCCAGGGAGGCACGCAGGCGATGCACTTCTGGCAGAAAGGCGCTTTAATGACTGATTAGGCCACAGAATGAACGCAATGATTGCAAGTCCGCAGGTGGGTGCATCTTTTGAATAGCTCGGATATTTTTGGATCAGGGCGACGACCGTCTTTCAAGCAATAAAGCCGAGAAACTTGATGGTGTAAAAATGTACACTTGTCTTCACGGATACGGAAACCATATGACTGGAGGCGTTCAAGCACTTCAGCGAGCCTCTCAAATAGTTCTTCTGCCGTCCGACCCATTAAAATGGTATAATCCAAGTATGTCGCGGCTCCAGAAACTCCCGCGAGCATGGTGTCCATCTTCTGCTGGAAGATGACTGTTGCTATTTTCACTCCAAAATGGAGGCGGCTGTACTGATACAAGTCACCATGAGTGTTGATGGTCAGCAATCCTCTCGAGCTTTCATCAACCTCGACCTGTAGGTAGGCATCGGACAAGTCGAGCTTGGCGAAACACTTCCCACCATTCAGCTTGGCAAAGATATCCGAAGGGAGTATTGATGGTCGTCCTGTGCGGCTTCAGGCCAGTCGAAAAATTGGCGCACACACGCACTCTACCGTTCGGCTTTCTCAAAGCAACAATCGGCGCAGTCCATGAAGAGTAACTCACTGGTGACACCGGCGTGCTCCAGTCGGTCGGGCTCCCGATCAACTGCTGCCATGGTTGCATACTGTACCGGTCTTTTTGCACTGAAGACTGGCTTGGTTCCTTCGCCAAGGCACAGCTTTGCTTTGAACTTAGTGCAGTGTTCGAGACCATCTTCAAACAAGGCGGAAAACTTCTGCTTTAGTCTTCTCGTCATGTCTTCTCTCGACAATGATGCATGGACTGGGTCGGTTTGGACTCTATTGCAAATCTGACTCATTGGAACATCAAACAGTCAACTTTTCCATCCAGTCAAGCCCAAGGAGGTTCAAGTTTGGTCGATCAGACAAGTAGCAGGTTCCGGCCTTTTTCACTCTGTTAAATACAATTTTGCACTTTATTTCTCCGAGCAGCTTCAGCACTCCACCGGATGCGTTGTGGGCGACTTTGTTGGAATCTACCATCGGCCACTTTATGTGCTTCCAAATGTTTTTGGAAATGATCGTTATATCTGATGCCGTATCGGATGCAGCCGGGTTGGGATTCCCTTGATGAGCACAGTGATAAATCGACGGCTTGTTCTAGAATCGTTGTGAAAAGTGGCAATCACCGATAGTGATTCTGCGTCAGGCTTCCTGAAGTTCTTCCTTCGGTAGGACCGCTTAACGTTTCTTGACCGCTTTTATGGCACTTGCCACAAATGTGATGCTTGAATAGACAGTATCGTGCGAAATGCCATTCACCACATGACCAACAAGGTGTAGGCGGCTTGTTCGGCGCTCTGTTGAACGGCTTGTTCTAGCCAGCCTTTCTTGTTTTTTGCACAGCATGAACAGTATCGAAAATGATGGGGCGACTCTGCTCAATCATAGCGGTGTCGTGTTTCAAAGTAATCAACCGTTTGCATTCGCCTATAAGAGACTTCAATGTCAAATCTGAATCTTGATCCAACTTAGCAAGGAGCCGAGTGTGGATTTCCGCGTCGCGTGGAGACTGTAAACCACTGACAAATATGAGACTCTTAAACTGGTCATCCGTCAAGCAGCGTAACTTTAAACCTTCACGGTTAACCATGTCTGCTAGTGCCCCATAATCGTCCATATCACGCCTAACAATTTTTAGACATTGATAGCGAATGCTAAACAAAGACGTTGACTCACCAACATTTTCTTTGTGTGTTGCCACTGCTTCGTGGAAAGTGGTGTCCTTCGGCTCTTTGGATAGGATATGGTCAACGAATCTTGAATGTTCATTAGTGCCGATTTTGCGGCGCAAAACAAGCACTTTCCATGAATCATCTTGACGGCTGAAATCTGTCCGGAACATGTCCTAGCGTTTGAACGACACCTCGAAAGTACATTCGGAATCAGCATCATAATGAAATTCGTTGATTGAATTTGTAAGAAGATCAAGTGAAACAGCCTGTGTGTCCCGTGTAGCTGTTCCGTTTGACTGTACATTCAAGCACTGTGTCAAACTTTCAGTCAGTTTCATTTGTGTGTCCATCAGTGATTGTTACTGAAGGAGCACCTTTTGGAAATGTTCGGCAGAAAAGTTTGTAACATTTTCGTGCTTGTCCGTCGCCCTTGTTAGATCTTTATGTTTTCACGCTATTCCGAATTAAACACCCAACAGTTTCTCCGCAACAATTCTAGCCCGCCCGAAGAAAAATCACAAGTCCAACGACCTTGACCACGGAAAATGTGTTAACAGAAACGTAGCCAAACGTAGCCAAGAACGCTATACAAACTACGCCAAATATATAGGGAGCCTACATGGGGACAGTCACAGGACGCCTGCGCCTACAAAGGGACTATAGGTGGCTTGCGCTGGAACACCCACAGCTCCAACCACACACCCCATATCTTGTGTAAACCCGAAGGAATAAGACCGGGAGGCATGTGGAGGGGAGCCACGTTTCATCAACGGAGCCGACCCACACTTTTTCAAGAAGCAGAACAGAATCATTCCGGCCTAATTGGGAAACCATACATACCAGACGTACACAAGGCGGTTGCTGGGCCGTAGTCCGTTCTACATAGGTTGCCCGAAACCACTCTTTTAGCCTAGCACCGTCACGAGGACGGTGGAGCCCGTCCCCTCCAGCAACCACCAACTGTCTCCTGGAGCCAGCAATTGAGGTGAAGCGTATTAGACAGGTAGGTACTTTGTCAATATTCACATCAGGCGCAGGCACGCCGAGGATGTCAAGCAACAGCCAAACGACAATATCAAATAAAATATATCTGTTAAAGCTTTCGGCTATGCCGACATAACTCTTCGCTAAATTAGCGTACGAAGTAAGCGGATTAGCAAGGAATCCGCGATCAGTACAAATTGTCCACAAGTTACCCAAAAAGTACTACAAACACAATAAAGCTGACGAAGATAACCACAATTAACGTAAGCAACGTGGCCAATTAATAGAGGATTGTTCACATAGGCAGAACAAAGCCAATAAAGTGGAATGAGATTTATCCAGCTTAAGTGTAAGTTAGTTTAGCCCAACTGCGGTGAAGAAGTATCAGCCACAACATTGGGCACACAATTTCGTTAGCAACGCATCCGCGGTAAGTACAAGTTGTTCAGAAGTCAATCAAAACGTGCTACAAACGCAATAAAGTTAACGAAGATATGCGCAATTAGCGTAAGGAATGTGTGCTAGTTAATAGAAGATTATTCAGGTAGGCAGAACAAACCAATAGACTGCTGCTTATACATACATACATGTACTTCACCGGGGAAGTTCCTTGATCGGCTTGTTACTTGACCTATGGGCTGGCAATCTCGTTAATTCTACATAGCTCAGCTCCTATGCAAGCAGTTTTTCCTTGGTGTTGAGCTTTCCTTTGACATCTTTATCCACTTATTTCCGTCTGTCATTTTGTTTTTCTCATCTTGGCCACGCGAACCAGCCCCTTAGATCTACCGCACTTCGGTGGCCTCGTCATGGCCACTTGCCTGTATGTGACTTACGCGACTATATTTTGACCAGATTCCATGCACTTCGCTTTTCCACACTTCGACTGTTTACTTTACATCCAATCTTATGGTGATTGGGGGTGTGTTGATTGGACGATGCTCTTGTATGCTAACATAACTAATATTGTCCAACTCCTCTTGTGCATGTTAGAAAAATCGCTCGCATCCCATTTAGAAGCGGAATCTAATATTTCTTGGCGTGTTTATATTGTTTATTTAGACGCAAATCCCCATAATTGTGCCTCTACTTCTTCATCGGTTGGTTTTGCTTTGTTTCCCCTCGACTTACACTTTACCGCAACTACACAAATATTGGTGCTCATTTTCTTGTAGCGCTCTCTGGATAGATGGTCAAGTGATTACTCACTACTCAGGTTCCTTCATGTTCACCGACTACGGTCTGCATTCAAGAGTCACTCAACTTTGAGCATGCATGTCTTAATCCCATTAGTCTTTCTGGTATATTACCTCCTTTGCCCCGCGATTTCGTACGCGCGTGGGTAACCTGATTCTCATCTACTCATATCCATTTTAGACTAATGCGATTCCATCCAGATTCTCCCCATCTCTTTTCATCCGCGCTGGGCGATTTTGCGGTCGCTGTGTGGGACACTGAGAATGGCACGAATGTCGGATCTCTTGACGGTCACCAGAGCACAGTCACTGACATAGCTTTTGCTCACAGTGGCTCTTTGCTCGCGACGTACGTTGCTTTATGGCCTTTCATCAGTTAAGCTTCTTAGGTGTGCAAGAGATAAAGTCATCATGATCTGGTCACACCCTCACTTCACTCGAGTTCAAGTCATTCCAGCTTTCGAAGTAAGATTCGGCATTTTTGTAACCTCCCTGTAAAGCTGATTCATCACCTTGTCTACTTTCTATGTTTCTTTCCCGGCGAAATGTTTTCTTTGCTTTGTTTTTGAAATTACTAAATAAGTGGCTCGCGATTAGACGCAGAGCGCTTCGGCCCGGCTACCAACTTCGTCTGAGGACTCTTCTTCCAGTCGCTCTGGAACTATTGTAGTGGTTCCTCCTACCTCTTTGTCGTTGCAGCAAGTTTCTTTGACTCTGCTTGATAATGAATGGGTTTAACCCCTCCAGACTCGACGAAACCCTCTCACGCGTCTACCAAATTCATTTCACTTATTTCATTTATTAGAGTCTCCACATTAAATGGCCAGGGAATACTATTTGGCTTTGGCACATGTTTGTTACGAGCGTCTCTGAAATCACAGTGCATATCATACCTGCTTGGTTTAATTTTCCAGATCAGACTTTAGGACTCGCTAATAGTCTTCTTCGCTCTGTTCATCTATAAAAGACAGTGTACGCAGTCTCCATGAATTTTGGATGCTCGCCGACACATTCCGGCTGGGAGCGAACACAACAAAACGCGCAAAGATATCTGGGCGAAACTGTGTTGTGACATTTTCTTCAAACATAAACTTCATCCTGCATCGGCCGTCGCGCAGATTATCAAGGGTCGCCTTATCTGCTGCATACAGCAGGGCGGATAAGCGAAAACATGCTACTGCTGGCGCCTCCCTTCTTTCTTTTCCACCTTTTTCTCTTACTCCCATCCCGGCCCCCATTACTAACCTTCCTTCTGTAATTCGCAGCTTAATTGACAGCAACCAAAGTGCTACTGGAGTAGAACCATCTGCAGCCACCATCCCACAGCACCTATCGGACGCCCATCGGCAAAAGTTCCTTGTAAGGCCACGCTATCCCGTTTCCACGGCGACATTCAACGTCCGCACTCTAAGACAAACAGGTCAGCAGGCTGCACTCGCACGCACCTTGGACACACTGGGTGTTGATGTGTGTTGGGTGTCCGAAACTAGGATTAATGATCCTAACGGGGTTATTGAATTGACTGCACCCGGCTTATCCTCTCGTTATTGATTGCACGCATCCGGAGATGCCGATGCGGCACTCACGGGTCAAGCTGGTGTAGGTATCATTCTCAGCTCCAAGGCTGAGTCATCGTTGGTTGATTGGATTCCGGTGAACAGCCGTTTATGTGCAGCCCGTTTGACGACATCAGCTAAGGTGAATTCGCGAAGTAAAACAAAACGCTGTTTGTTTGTGATTTCTGCTTATGCTCCCACGGACTGCAGTTCTAATGCAGTCAAGGACACTTTCTATCACGAACTGAACATGCTGCTACGCAGTGCTACTAGTTCAGATATTATAGTACTTTCAGGGGATAGGAACGCACAAGTAGGGCGTCTGAGCTCTTCAGAAGCTCAGCTGGGTGGTAAGTATGGACTTAACGCCGAACGGACTGACAACGGTGAGCGTCTGCTGCAACTGTGTGCGGAGCACCAGTTGTTCCTTACTAGCACTGCTTTTAGACACAGTGGGCGCCGAAGTGCCACTTGGAGTCCACCTGTAGCTGGTCAGCGATGGACCCAAATTGACCACATAGCCATAAGTTACAGGTGGCGCGGTTCCATTCTGGATTGCCGCTCGTACTGGAGTACCTGTGTCGACTCTGACCATGCCTTGGTGCGCTGTCGTTTCTCCATGAACTTTACCGGAAGGCGCACAAAGCGTCTCTTCCGATCGGCAACGGAGAAATTGTCCCAGCCCTCTGTCAGGCAAGCCTATCAAGAAGCACTGCATAGCGAACTCTCGCTGTCTTGTCCTAATGATACTGAACTTCAGTGGAATAGGATCTCGGCCACTATGCACGACGCAGGAGCATCTGCTTGTGGCACTATCAGTCGTCATCGCACCAGTCACTGGATATTCGAGAGGTCCGTGAACGTTTTGGAAGCTAGAAGGCACCTCCCGGCTGGTTCTGAACACAATGTGACCAGACGGGCTATTAGGCGTGAACTAAAGCGGAGCCTACGTGCTGACAAGGAAGCCTGGTGGACCAGTCGGGCTCAAGAAATGGAGGAGGCAGGAGCAGTAGGCAATTACCGGAAGCTCTTCCAGCTAATACGCACCACTGGTCCGAGAAAACCAGGCGTCAGTGAGACAATCAGGGACAGCGCGGGTGCGCTGATACACAATAAGGAGCGCCGTATGGCTCGTTGGGCTGAGCACTTTGAACATCAGTTCAGCTGGCCCCCTGCTCCCGGACATCTTCCTACTTAGGTGATGCAGGACGAGCCATGGACGGTTAGTTTAGAGCCTCCGTCGGAGGCCGAGGTCCGAAACGCGATCACAGCCCTCAATCGTTTTCGTGCCGCTGGCCCGGATTCCCTACCACCTGCGCTATTTAAGGATGGAGGTGAGGTCCTCTGCAAAGCACTGACCTCCTTATTCGAACGTATCTGGAACGAAGAGAGTGTGCCGGCTAACTGGAGCGAATCGATTATAGTGGCAATATACAAGAAGGGCAGTCGCCCAGACTGTGCGAACCACAGGGGTATTAGCCTAACGCCAGTTGTGACCAAATTACTGGCCTCGATTATCGTTCGTCGCCTCACTGCAGAACGGGAATCTCGGATTAGAGAAGAGCAGGCCGGTTTTCGCCCAGGACGTGGCTGTATAGACCATATATTTACTTTGCGGCAGGTGCTAGAGCAGCGCCACGCATACCGCAGACCGACAATAGCTGTGTTTCTCGATTTCAAGAGTGCGTTCGATTCAGTCGATCGATCGATTCTGTTCGAAATACTTGCGCGAAAAGGTGTTCCCACGAAATATGTGAACATCCTTCGTGCTCTATACTCGAACACTAGAGGCCGCGTCAGGGTCTATGGTGCCCTATCGGATAGCTTTTCGACTAAAAGTGGCGTTCGACAGGGTTGCCCGATTTCCCCGTTTTTGTTCAATTTCGTCGTGGATTCTATCATGGAGTGTTCCCTTGCAGAATCTCACGATGTAGGTGTTGAAGTGCTGCCTGGTGAACGGTTAGTTGATCTAGATTATGCGGACGATATCGTCTTGCTTTTCGAGAATGTTGAGGCGGCCCAATCAACCCTGAATAGCCTATCCAGAGTGGTCCCATTATTTGGTATGCACTTCGCACCTTCAAAGTGCAAAGTGTTGCTGCAGGACCACCAGCCACTCGATGACCCCTTGACGCTTGCTAACGAGGAACTCGAGGTGGTTGATCACTTCACTTATCTTGGCAGCTGCGTCAGCAATGATGGGCGCATAGAAACTGACGTGAGCTCACGCATTGCAAAGGCTAGAGCTGCCTTCTTGAACCTGCGTCATCTTTGGCGACAGAAGGGAGTTTCCCTCCGTCTGAAAGGCCGTGTATACAAGGCCACAGTGAGGGCCGTTCTGCTATATGGTAGTGAAACTTGGCCCCTTCGGTCTGAAGATCTGAGGCGCCTTCAAGTCTTTGATCATCGTTGTTTGCGAAGCATTGCTGGTGTCGGATGGCACCAGCGTGTCCGCAACGATGATGTGCGTAGGCGAGTACTAGGTGGTGATAATCATGCTAGCTCCCTAGAACAACAGATAGCACTGAATAAGTTACGTTGGCTCGGGCACGTGCTACGCATGCCTGGTCACCGCTTACCTAGGAGGGCCTTGTTCAGTCTACCAGGTGTCGGATGGCGCAGGGCTCGAGGTGGACAGAAGTTGACTTGGCAGCGGGAAATGAAGTCACTGACGACCAAACTGGGTGCCGTTGGTCCGTCTCGCCTTCCGGGTTGGAGTCCACGTGACTCACCTTGTGCTTGGCTCGAGACTGTACAGGACATGGCTCGCAACCGACACCAGTGGCGCGTCTGCTGCCGTCTCCTAATTGGATTGTCTGTTTAAAGTGTGTTTGGTGCTGAGTTATCTGCGGGGTACTGGCTGATTATGACGCGTGGCAGTGAAAGCCTCAAGGAAGCTGTCTCGCCGATGCCGCCTTATCTTTGCACGATAGCCATCTGTTTGTGACGGTATGTTGTCTACACAAGGTGTAGGCGCCTTGACCCAGAATGTTTGCTTAGGGCATTAGGGTTTTCAGGTAAGTCCCCTTCTCTCCCTCTTCTTATTCTTTATTTCATTTGTCCTCATGGTTGTATGGCAGCGAAGCATCAGTTCAAATGGCTGATGTACTGCTGTTGATGATGATGATGATGTGTTGCTGGCCTGAAGAGAGACCACGAGGATTAATGGTATCGCTGTGCATCGGAGATAGAAACAGCAGCCGCCCTTGATACTCATTGGAAGTTATTCCGTCTGATACGGGAAACGAGCAGCACGAGACCTGATGTTTGCGAGACCATACGTTTGGAGCGTTGAATCGAACATTTCGCAAAGCAATTTAATCAATCAGTTACCCTTTTTCTTATCATTCATTGATCACCTTTTCTGGACCGTCCTCTCTGAATCCACCTTCACGCGCAGAGGTCGATCGTCAGATCAAGTGGTCGAAATTGGGTCAGGCAGCAGAAGCAGATAGACTTCTTCGAATTCGGGGTATCTGCTCTTTTGGTTGATTTTCACAACTTATTAGTGAAGTTGTGTGAGCGGATTTTTCCAATAGACTGTAGTCGTTCCGTTATAGTCTAACTTTTCGCAAGCAGCTTGCGTTTTGAATACGGCACTCATAGAGGAATCAGTCTGATCTCAATTGCCTCTAAATTAGTTGCCTCTGTCGTTCTCCATAGACTTGCTGGCACCCGTAAAGGCCAGATTCGTGACGAGCAAGCCGAGTTTCATCGAAGTCGCGGCTGTATTGGTCACATCCCATTAATTCAATTGTTGGAGCACCACCATGTTTATTGGCTACCCACATTAGTTGTGTTTTTCGACATCAATGTATCGTCATAACGAGACTGGGCGTTAATGTAGTGCGACGGTTTGCATACCTTTTCGACCCATTGAGCTATACTGGGTAGGGCTTTTGGGCCCATTGTGAGCTACTTCTATCAGGTTGGTTAATGGTTAGAGGTCAGACGAACTCAGTCTCCTGGTCCTCCACGTTGGGGTTGGAAATGGTATGGTGTCCAATTCTGTGAAACCGTATAGTTGCTCTCTCCCTGCTGCCTTACGGACAGACTTTGAGCTAAACACTTTGCTTGAGGACCCTAATGGTTCTCCTTTCTAGGTTTGGACGTCATAGCAGTATCTCAGCCCACGTACATCCTTGTCTATTTCCTCAAATCTTCATCGGTCGTCGCGCAGCTTATCATGATCGGCTGGTTGCCAACTGGTCCGCGCACCTGGTTTGCAACCATAAGGTCATCGTTTTTCAATCCGCATAGAGGCGGGCGTCCTCGCGGTATACTCGGCCCACGCGCGACTGCTGGTGGTCGCGTGGCAGCGAAGCGCCGTTACGGCGCGCGCTTGGTGATTCATTTCATCCATTCAGCTCATCAAGAGTCGCTTTATCCGCTGCATACAACAGGGCGAATAAATGCTACTGGTGGCATCACCTTTCTTTTCCACCCGGAACGGGTGGAAAACGTAATCACACTGGTGTCGAGCCTTCTGCAGCTGTTTTCCCGCACCACCCAATGAACACCAACCGCCCCTTGTAGGGCCGCGCTGTCCCGTTTCCCTAGCGGCGTTCAACGTTCGCATTCTGAGACAACTAGCTCAACAGTCTTCACTCGCACGCACCTTGGACACCCCGAGTATTGACGCATGTTGCGTGTCCGAAACTTGTATCAATGACCCACGCAGGGTTGTTGAACTGACAGCACCTAGTTTATCCTGTCGCTATTGGTTTCGCGCAACCGGAGACGCTGATGCAGCAATAATTGGTCAAACTGAGGTGGGTATCGTCCCAAGGCTGAGTCATCGTCCTAACAAGACTGATATTCAGTGTAATAGGATCTCGGCCATCATGCACGACTCGCGATTCTCTGTTTGTATCACTATCAACCGTTACAGCACCAGACTCGATATTCTGGAGGCCCATGAACTTGTTGGAATCCAAAATAAAGCTCGCGGCTGGGTCTGGGCGCGAACTAAAACGGAGCCTGCGTGCTGGCAAGGAAGTATCGGATACTCCTCTTTTCACAGAGCAACTTTAGACGGCACTCAGGTATCTGGCACCTCGCGAAAACGTGATTACTTAAGCTCCGATCTGAGCGGAACCCAGCTTGCTCTTCGCGTACCATACTGAGCCTCCTTAAATGCAACGCAACTTAGACTAATTCCTCAGTTTCGGTACCGTTTTTGAAGGCAGGCGCGAGATCGTCAAAATTCCATTCGGGCGGAAGTACTCCGGTGATCAAAGTATCAGTTCAGATGGCTAATACAATGCTGCTAATTATGATGAAGACACTAAAGGTGCCTTCGATTCAGTGAATCCTTATGCGCTTTGGGACTGTTTACTCAGTAAAGGTGTACCCGAGAAATTCGTTAACATTATCAGATCGCTTTACGCGCGCGGTTCGGGAAGAGTAGACTTGGCAAACTGTCGCCGCCCCTCAGTATCTCCAGTGGTGTGAGACAAAGATGTGTTGTCACCTTTTCTCCTTAATTTCTCCATCGACGAAACCAGGGAAACTGCGTTCACCAGATTCGACCTACAAGGTTTGGGGCTACTCTCATGTGACTTGGAATGCGTCAACGATCTTTTCCTTGTTTGTGACAGCTCCCAAACAAACCATCAGCGCTGGACAAATTAGCATTGTTTGTCATTCGTTTGGGGCTATGCTTTGCACCCTGGAAATACGAGGCCCTTCTCCAAGATTGGCAAGGGCCCACCCTTGCGCTAATTTTTAGTGGCGATCAGCTAGAAGTCGTCCAGAAATTAATATCTAAAGAGCTACATCACCATTAGTAAAATGGAAGGTAAGATCACGAACCGTATAGCAAAACCCCGAGGCAATTTTGCTGCTCTTCACCAGCTGTGGAACCGGCGTGACATCACTCTTGCCGTGAAGGGCAGAGTTTACAATGCAACCTTCCCTTCAACTCTGCTGTACGGTTCCCAAACCTGGCCCATCAAATCGAAAGACATAAAGAGTCTACTTACGTCCGACCATCGCTGCCTTCGCAGATTTGCTCATGTTTCGTGGAAACAACGTGAGCAATGAGCCTGTTCGACCTCATGCATTTGTTGCAGGAAGAGCTAGCGAACCGCTCAGCGGGGGTATATCATGTACCATACTCCGATGACTGGGACACGTGTTGCGCATGCCAGCACACCGACTCTCTCGATTTGCGTTCTATGCGCGACCGGGATGTGGAAGGAAGAAGATGACTTAGTCAAGATGAATAAAAATTGTCCTTTTGAACTTAGCGTCGGTTGCTATCTCCCGACTCCCGGGTTTGGATTAGATACACTGGTTGATATGGCGAAGCGGCGACCTTAACAACGTTTATGTTGTGGGTTACTTTGTCCATCCCCTCGCCTTCAGCTTCCCACTCCAACCACGGTCTCACCCTTGAAACAACTTATTACTAAGCAGCGTGTTAGCTGTTGTTTTTGTATTCTATAATGTTTTGTGTGTCTTTCTTCATATATCTTTTTGTATTGCGGCACAATGGCTTAAGTGTACTTCTCACATTCATCTAACGTATTCTGATGATGGATGACTATAAGAAACAAACTAACCCACCTCTGACTCAGTAATGTCTTTGAACACACTTTTCGAAGGCATTACATCACCTTGCTTTAGTATTTTTACGTGTCTCTGTACTACATGTAGGTAATGTTAACGTTAAGTCTCCGCATCTTCGTTTCCAGTGAATGTATTTCTTCCTGAATGCTGCTTCACAGTTGATTCTGTCTGCGTCCTTTTACTTATTCCCTCGTTTTCAGAGCCTGGATTCCTGTGTATTTTTGCCTATTGGTGCGTTAGTGAACCATCTTGGTGATGCTGTTTCCACTGAAGAACTGCTGGTTACTGGTGGGCAATGGGGCTGCCTTCGAATATGGCATCCGACTGATGGAAAATGTTTGCTGGAAATTAAAGGACCGCTTGATCGTACCCCACTAACACGCGCAGAAAACTTACCAACATCCCAAACCAGATATCAGGTGGATTACGGATTACATTCTATCGTTAGCCTTCAACTGGTATATGTGAAAAGCGTACAGGACGCCTGTGATAGTGACTGCTATGAAGGCACTTTCCTACCCAAACTTTCTCTTGTTCGCCAAAGCAATCATGTCGAGTTTTACAACCCTCTCAATGGACGGCTGTTATCCGAAGTAAGTTCGACTATATATGTATGGTGCTAACTGTAATGATTCCTAGGTGTATTTGTTGCTCTTCTTTAGACACGTTTTCAAAACTGTGCTTTTTCTTTCTTCAAATTACACTTGGGTGTGTTGCTACCGTATCTTTGGGACTTTAGAAAACCGCACTGGCTTAATTGGTACTTTCAATAACCTCGGCGATTCACCCACCATAAGTATCAGTATCCTTAACACGTGAACCGATCGATCGATTGCATTAGTTGTTTGGTAGAAGTGAGAACTGGTTGTGTACCGGCCTACTTGTCCTCCACCTGATGTTAACCACAAAGCGCACACGTATGTTTGGTGTCTTCACGATCTTTTACAGCGAGGTTGAATTAGCCAATGTAGCATCAGCCTTATTGTTCGTAGCAAGTAGTGCCCAGACCGTTCCACAAGGATCAGCATTTAGTACGGGCTGTACACTGAGGAACAGTGCATCGTTCGACGTGATTTACTTTTACTGGTTTAATGTCCCGGGAATGGGAAAACACCGATGCAACTTATTTACCCCACATTCGGAAACGGCAGTCCTAGCGATCATGGTTTGTTTTCATGCCCAGTTGCGAGATTCGTTTGGCACTATAGAATCTCAAGTGATCGTGACACTGTTGCCGGAATCCTTACATTGATCTAATTAATAGTACTTCTGTTAAGGAATACGCCTGCTACAAAACCACTAGCACTGAGTTATCTCACGAGATAAACGAACTTCTCTATCACTACGAAGGAATAACCTGAAAGGGTAAGGGTAGGACCAGCTCCTAGTCAGTCCTGCAGTACAACTTTACACTTTTGATGGGGTTAAGGTAATTCCGGATTGGGAGATATACACCTCCAACCTACAGAGTACCTTTTCGGCGGCTTGTGAAGTATCACATATTACGGCGGTCGTCTGCATACTCCACGTCCTAAAGTCGACCTGTCAGTAGCAGCTGCATGCCGCTGAGTTTGCATTTGTCCAGAGCACTTTCCAGGGCGTCCTCCATAGCCAAGTTGAATATGAAGAGTGATACTTGGCAGCCCTGTCTCACGCCACTTGTGATGCCAAAAGGCGGCGAAATTTCACTGTATTTTTGCCCTCGGCCCGAGGTCCCAGATTACATGTTAACATGCTGTATATGAGTGAGGCTTAGCCCATTCAGTCGAAGGGTCTGCGGCGTCTTCAAGCCTTTGATCATCGCTGTCTGCGAAACAACTGATATCGCATCACACCAATGTGTCCGCTACGATGGTGTGTTTAGGCGAATGCTAGGCAGTGATAATCTGGCTAGTTCCTTAGAATAACAGATAGCACTAAGTTGCGTTGGCTTAAGCACGTACTACGCATGCCCGGCCGTCGATTACCAAGGAGGGTCTTGTTTTTTTGCCAGATGTAAGGCGGCACAAGGCCTGAGGTATGGAAAGTTAACTTGGCAGCGGGGAAATGAAGTCACTGATAACCAAATTGGGTACTGTCGTTCCGTATCACCTTCCAGGCTGTTGTCCACACAACCTGCCTTGTGCTTGGCTCGCAGTCGGCACCAATGGCGCGTCTACTGTCATCTCGTAGTCGGACTGTGTGTTTGGTGTTGAGTTATCTGCGGGGAAGTGAAAGCTACGAGGAAGCTGTCTCATTGGTGCCGCTTCACCTTTGCACGATAGCCAGCTGCTTGTGACGGCATGTTGTTGCTACAATGTGTAGGCGTCTTGACCTTGAATGTTTGCTTAGGGATTAAAATTTTATGCTAGGTCCCCCCTTCTCTCTCCTGCTTATTACGTTTTGCTCCATAGGTTGTTGTAGTTCTTCAACAGCGGTGCATCAGTGCAAATGACTGATAAACTGCTGTTAATGGTGATGACGGCGATGTTGCTGCTGTTGATGATAAAATACTTCTCGGACATTTCTCAATTGACAACTCAAGTCGACACTCGAATATCTGGTGTGTCACGAATATGTGATCAACTGGCTCCGATCTGAGCGGAAATTAGCTTGCTCTTCACGTACCTTGTTGAGCGTCCTTAAAAGCACAGTGGCAGACACTTTGAACGCAACGCAAATGAGACTAATCCCTCAGTTCCGGTACAGTTTTTGAAGACGAACGCAATATCGGCAAAGTTCCAATCGGACAGAGGCACTCCGATGATCAAATGTTTTGGGGGATGGCTAATTTCCAGACAATTTATGATCCTCCATGTTTGAAAACTGTCACATGAAGTTCGTCTGGGCCAGGTGCCTTATCGCACCTTAGGAGGCGAAATTAGTATGCAATCTTTGCCTCTGGTGTGGTGCTAAATCATCTAGGCACTAGGCAGCACTCAACGTTCATTAGTGAGAACTCACAGGTGCTACTGACCATTTAAACTGTTTAAAATGCCCAACCTAAAGCACACTCCGATGTTGTCGACATTGAATTGGCTCGCCGCTTATTTCACACATAACCTCGCTTGCGGTCGCTCTTTTGCCACGAGGGAATAAGGTCAGGAGGAAATGCTTACGGTGATTTCTAGGGCTGGCCGCTTGTTCACTCTATGGCCCAATGCGTCCGCCCGACCTCACCACCCTTCCGGAGTGTCTGTTTGAGTTCAACATTGATAGTCCTGCACATTGAATCGTTCTCACCACCGTTGGGAGTCGCTCGACAGACTTCGGGAAGCTAGAGTGATCGTGCAGAGATCCGTTGGTTTACAGGAGTACATCCGAAACCACAGATCGGATTCGCATAGTTGTGCACGGTACTACAAATGTGTCTGAGCATGATGCACTTGAGGTTTGAGGCCGAGTCATCCTAAAATACGCTGTGAACCTTTGGGGCAGAAAGCTTAACTCTCGTTTCCCCATAGATGTTTCCCTCTCTAAGACCATTCACATACTGAATTAGCACTATACTTTTAACTATTTTGCTTTGCTTTTATCTCCCTTTCCCAGTATCTCGGTGACATCGGTCAAGTTGACCAGCTGTGCGTCGTTGGAAAACTTCACAATTATCTCATTCTTGCTGACTCATCACCTCACCTGAAGTTGTTCATATCTCCTCACGGCCTCAATGGCACCTCTGTTTCCACTTTGCGCTCGTGGAACTGTCACCTCGTACCTGGAGGACACAGCGATGTGATCACTGATGTGTCTGTTTCACCCAATGGCGAATGGTTTGCGACAAGTTCGAAAGATTTGTCTATTTGCCTTTGGCACGTAGTGGACAGTGATTCTATCGAGGCACCGCCACCTAGCCGCCCGTCTGTACGAGTGCTTCTCGCAGAGCGTTTGGACTCGGCTCATTCCTCCCATATACGCTGCATTTGTTTTGGCAAGTATGTGTTCTAAACCTCACTTGTTCGCATACCAAGCATCATCTTTCCATTAGATATTCTCATTTAATCATTCATGCTATTCATCCGAGAGTAGGTAGATTTAACCCCGTTTTTGAATGGCCGCCTGACATGGAAATCATCAGCCTACATGTTTATCGATTTTCAACAGTTGCACTTTCTCAACTATCACGTCTGGGCATTCTTGTTAGTCACTTTACTCACTCACTGTGTAGTGTGGATTGCTCTGGCTTTTGTCTATGTCGCGCTCGAATTAGGTTATGTATTTGTCAAGTGACGGGCAGTTAGTTCTTCGGCGTCAGGCTCATTTATGTACGACAATTTTATTATATGCTGTAGCTTTTAGTTTTTTACGTCACTTTTAGCTTTTGGTTAAGATGAAACTTATCTGACCGGTGTCGTTCAGATAAGCTGGCTTGCAATCTGTGGGTAACGCGAGTCAAGTCTACTGGATCTCTCGCATTTCGCTGTCCGAATGACATTATCTTTCTCTTTTGGTCGGACTTAGCCTTGATACCTTTTGTTGAAACATGTCTCGCACCGGCTGCTCTCTGCGAACTCAGGGATTTTGCCTCTTTTATTGGTAAATTTTGTTCATGGATTTTCCTGGTGAATTCATATTCAACAAATTGCAGTGTGGAGAGCCAGTAGCACCGTAGCACTTTCAGAATTTCTTATGAGATTCTGTGTTATTTGAACGTATGCAACTGTTGGATGGATCTGACAACTTTTTAGTACCACCTTATGGTGTATTCATGCACTTATCTGATTCGGGTATCCCGATGCGAAATTTAACCGGATAGTCCTTGGTCTTTCTTGCTCTGTAGTGAAATATGCTTTTTATGTGTTAAAGTTACTTTTCTCATCATTTCCTTTTATTCTATTTTCTCTTTTTCAATGTCCACTACTGGGCCGGTCTTCTGAGGTGAAAGATTGAAGTTTTCAACCTAACGAGTACACTTATGCAAGAGGTGTCAACATGCGCTCAGGTGCGTGTAATAAATCTACCCAATTCCAAAGAGCCTAATAGTGAAGAGTGGGCTGCTTGGCTCAAGTGCCCACACAATAAACATATGATAACAACCTTATAGATAAAGCGGTGCTGACTCAGTTACTTTTAAGTCATACCGGCACACGATGAGATGGGGGGCATGAAAGTGCGATTAAAGCCATTCGAGCATGATAGCATGAAGTCCCCTGGAGATCGTTCCGTGCATGAACGTATCAACTTATTTAGACGTTTGGCTATCTATGCATTTACTATTAATAATAATATTATTATTATCAACTTTTCAATCCTTCTATCATGTCCAACTCGTCATTCATTCCGAAAATCCGTTTGGATACCACCTAACTTATTTGTTTCACGGTGACTTTTATGAGGTGGTCATCTTCGAATGGCAACTCAATGAAATTATGTTTTTTTAAACCGTTATCTCTCAATCTCATCTCACTGTGTCACTGAAACGCTCTATGAACTGTAATGAATGACTATTCGGTTGTAGCATCTGAAACGGTAGTTATTTCTCTGCTTCCAGTGTATGTGGTGCAAGTCATATGAGCTCGGTGGAATAAAGCTCGAACTAAGGGGCGCCTGCGAAAAGCTCTTACAGTGTAAATATTCAACCGTCCAGGTCGCTTTCCGGTAGACTAACCTTTGGATTGAATTATCTGGTCGTCGTATGAGCAATGTGTTAAAGTATCGGGACTATAGTCGTGTTAAGTTTCGCATGTCACTAATAAGCGCTTCAGTGAAAAAGGCAATACAATGCAGCAGAGCTACGTTTACTCGTGTCCACAAGCCCACTACTTAAGCGTTCGGCGAAGATACCGGTGTAGAAGGAGTGCACATCCCATTTCTTATACAAATGCACACGTAGCTATGGACATAGCCATGTTGGGCGCACTGATCGAAATTTAGGTGTTCGAAACAAGGAACACATTCCAAACGGATGTAGCATTCGACGGTTATACCAGGTGAATCAAAGTTGCCTCCTGAATTACGAGGCATTTGATAAGGACCGTGCACCAGGTAAACCCCGATCCATCATTCACAGTCCTCATGCGCATTCAAAGGCCTCCCATTCTCAAGCTCCTGGATGCCATTGTTATCGATCGACAGTACCCATCGCTCTTTGTTAAAAACAGCTGCCTGTGACACTAATCCTTCCGTGGCAGCAAGTAACGCACCAGCTATACCAACAATCGATTTGCTGTCTTGTTTTGGTTTCTTTTTTATTTGCATGCACCTGACCGACGAGAATGCACGAAATGACAGTGTCACTCCACAACATTCGTCTTCTGATCTTATTTGGAAGTATTAAGGAACTTTCGTGTTTCAGATAATCTATTTTATGCGATCCTGCTGTACGTATTGGTCAGACCATTCATTTGAAATGTGCTTTACACTGTCGAGAAGTATGCCATTTGACGTTATATGTTCTATTTTTGTGCACTTTGTCTTTCCTGCCATCAGATCAACGAACATCCTTATCTCCACCTCAGATGACAATGTATTAAAGATGTGGATGGTGAATACGGACCACACAGTTTGTTCATTGCCAAAAGGCCAATCTCCACGCCTGATCACAGAACGGTCCGTCGCTCACGGAGTTCACAACGCCAGTGTGAACGCCATAGACATTTCGTGCAATGATCAGCTAGTAGCTACAGCCTCCAGGGACAAGACTGTTAAGGTAATAACCTGTATTGAGTGACCGTTTGCCATTTCTTCTCTGTGTACCGTTTTGCGTGTCATTAAGTTTTCTACGGGGTCGTTATCGTTTACCGCTTAGCTGAGCATTTTTACCAGTTCTTCGTTTCGTTGCGATGCGCTTCATTTTTTACCCTATGTTCTCGGATATCTTTGCCAACTTACCGAACTTTAATTTTAATTCCCAAACCTCGTTTTCCGTTTGTTTACGTATAGACCTCGTTGACTGTCCCATCTCCCCAACTACCCCGGTACTTATTTGAGTCGTGTGACTACGGCTCCTCTGGTGTGATCTCTTGCCCACTGTCACGCCACAACTAAGTCACTGTTGCTAGTTCAATAAGAGAAGGATATATATATATATATATATATATATATATATATATATATATATATATATATATATATATATGTATATTGTTGGCGGCATGCAGTTTCGGAATTGCCTGTCGCTGCATCCTCCTTAGGGCAGCCACAGGACGCTTGTCCGTACTAAAGGCCCATAGGTGGCTTGCGCTGCACCACCCACAGCTCCATCTACACATCCCATATCTAGTGTAAACCCGAAGGAATGAAACCGGGAGGCATGTGGATGGAAGCCAAGCTTCATCAACGGAGCCGACTGTTACTTCTTCGTACTCAGACTACCCGATTTTGAGGCAGAAGCTTCTCGCCCCTAATCACCTACACCGGTGTTCTGTCACCACTTTTATTTTCCAATTATGTGAGTTCGACACCAGTCCCAGGAGAGTCAACCTCGCTTAATTACGCAGATGACATTGTCCTGGGCGTAGATCATTCGACCACTACCTCTTCAGTCGGATTGCTAAACGATTTCACGTATTGTCAAAGGCCCGCCAGCTGCCGCTTAACAAATCAAATGCAATACTGTCGTTTTTTCACTACACAGACGAGATCGATATCGACAGTTTCTCCAGCAATGCCCGGAACACAACATCGACTGCGAGAGGTTGCGCTATTCCACATCATTCTTAGCTACGATGTATCTTGGTCACTCCATGTAAAAGAAACGTTTACAAAAATCTGGGGATTTTCGTTCTACGCCTCACGCTTGAAAGATTTCTCTAATTTAATAACTCTCTTTGTCGTTGCCTGTTTTCTTCCACACTGGACGTACTGCTCACCAGTGATTTTTCCTGCCCATTGGGCAAAGACCAGCTAAATCTCCGGGTCGTTAAAACACTTGTTACGATGCAGCGGTATGTCAAAGCCCACGGTTGTTGGTATACTTGTATCCACTCTTAATTCCCGCAAGAGACTAGCGTCAAAAGAGTTCGCCGACACAAGTCACCCCCTTCTTTGTGTATTGTCGAAATGTTTGTCAACCTCGTCAACCAAACAGAAGTACAAATCCATATATGCCCGCACACGAACGTGTCGTTCGTCACTTCTCCTTTACCTAGCGCGATTTTTGCTAGACCAAAACAAAGTTGTCCAAGAATTGACAAATCGGATTATGCCATGATGATATTATTTTTCTTCAATTATTGATCCACATTTTTGCATTGCATTCATATCGTGCTGTATATCTGAAAGCGTATATGTTAGGGCTGAATATTCACCAGTTCTGAGTGCATAAAGCACTCTCTTGCTTTGATTTGAAACCATGCACAGCATCATTCCTGTCTATCTATTTGGAGAATCATGCTTACCAGACGCACACAAGGCGGTGGCTGGGTCATAGCCCGCTCTACAATGAATACATGGAATTACTCGTTGGGCCTACCGCGGTCACGATGACCGTGCACTCTGTCTGCCCAAGCTACGACCAACTGTCTACTGGAGTCAGTATAATCGAGGTAGCGGCTTTTGACAGTTAGGCACCTTGGCAGCATCAGAATTATACAATCCACTGCGGTGACACACCTCCATGTCTGCAACTGTTACACCGACGGATGCGCACAGTCCGACACAGGCACTGTAGTTGAAGGCGCTCCAGATATATGACGTCCTTTTGGAACAGAGTACAGCTTTCGCTGCCGTAGAGAACAACGGACAGCATCACCGACCGGTACTCCATCAGCTTCGCTCAAGTACTAAGCTGGCGATTCGTCCACACACGCTATTCCAGTTTGCTACATGCGGCAGCCGCCATCGCTTCGCGGATACGCAGCTCGCTCGCCAGCTTGCCTAACCGTAGCGTTAAAGATCTTAAGCCTGCGTTGTAATCCGAGTGCGCGGAGTCGATCCTTCGTAGCGATCGAGCGACCCTCGCAATATCTGTATCCTACGTGCGACTAGTGACGGTTGCGCAGCTCCCTAGATAGTACAATATGGAGGTGGTTTCCAAAGCGTCGGTACCAAACTGGATTTGGGACCGGCCCACGGCTTCCATTTCCGGTGAAGGCTCAAAAACACGAGCAATCTTGCCTGTGTTGATGATAAGCTAGAACTGGTCCGCTGTCGAAGCGAGAGCCGAGGTCGTGTGCTGCAATCCATCCGCGCTATGTACAAACAACGCACAGTCGTCGGGAAACAGCAACATATGGATGATTGTCCCACGTGCTAAGGTTCCCGCACCGGAACGACAGATGTCCAGCAGCCCACTATCAATACCATGCACAACGCGAACAGCGTAATCACGATCACTAAGTTCACAAGAGATCATTTCATTTAACCCATTAGCTACCATGATTCTCAATTGGGGATCACATACTTTAACCTGCCTGGTAACACTATCTGTCGCTCACGAAGAAAACTAGGATGTTCCCGTCTTCCACGGGATGTCGCCTGTGGCAATAAATCAAAAGTGATCGCATGTGTGCTTTTTCAAAACAGTTTCCAAAGATTTTTTTAAAAAGGTTGTGAATGGGTTGAATATTAAACAGGGAGGTAGCTAAGACTCAACCTTGCTTCGCACAAGAGACAACTGCAGGCATCCGAGGTTTGTCAATTCAGTTGCATCCTCTCCCGCATATCACTGGGCAGACGTTCAATTCGACTTACAAACTTTCTTGGATAACCAAACTTTCCCAACACTAGCCACAGTGCCTCACCGTTCACCGTGTTAAATGCCTTGGTGATATCAACAAACAGTGGGTACATTGGCTGGTGTCGCTTTCAATGTTTCTCCAGCAGTTAACGAGCCGTGCATATCATATGTATGGTTTTGCTGACCGAACCGAATCCACATTGCTCTTTCGCCACTTTCGGTTCAACGACTTGAATAACGAGGCGTTTATGCAGGATCCTTGCCATCACCTTCCCAATACAAGTCAGCCAGTTGATACCACGATAATTCGTGGCACATTGCTTCCTTCCTTTACCCTTATTCAGTGGTAGCATAAGGGCATCTCTCCAGTCGGCCGGCACATCTTCAATCCACACGCTTTGCACCAAGTGCTGCGGCGCATGTATCAACGCAGGAAAACCGTGTTTAGACACTTCTGGTGTTATCCAGTCGGCGCCGGCGCACTTGTCGTTACGAAACTGAGCAAGTGCTGTCTGAATCTCATCTGGTGTCGGTGTGTCGGAAGACACGTCTTTATAACTTGTTGTTGCAGACCGTGTGACGTAGCCCAGTCAGACTCTGGACGGTTGTTCAAAAGACAGTCGAAGTGCTTTTGCCAGATATGCACTATTTCTGCAGTCTTTGTGCAGGCAGCGCCTGAAATAACATCCACCAGCTTCTTCAGCGGCTGCAAGGTGGGTAGTCAAAGAATGCCTTGGCAGTGTGTGGCGTAGCATTCCATCTGGTTTGCCTTCTCCGTCCACCATACATTCTCGATGCGACGGATCTCTCGAGTCAGTGGTATTCGAACTTTGCGGAACTGGCTCTCCTTCTCTTCATCTGCAGGGTCCTCCCTACCTGCAACGCATGCTGCATTCTTCTCCGATACAAATGCGCCAATGGTCGCATTGTCGTCATCAAACCAATCGGGCCGCTTACAGTTTGCTCGTCCGATCGTTTCTTCGGCAGCACCCGTGACTTGTTCCATGATGTGGCACCACAGGTCGCCGACTGATGCGATAGAGTCGACATCGCCAAAGCGGGTAGCCATTGCCTTCTCGAACTCCCTCTTATCACTAGTGTCTATGGAAAAAATGTTGCCCAGGATGACGGCAGGTGAGCAATACACAGATTTGGGAAAATACATGTACAATTTGGTCCGCACCAATTTGTGGTCAGTGCCGCACTCCGCTCCACACAGTACACGTGTCATGTGCACTTCACGTATGTCACACTGGAGTACGATGACATAGTCGAACAGGTGAGTGCGGCCATTCCGCGGGTTCATCTAAATTGCTGTATTGCTCGCACCCAGTACAAACTGGGTGTCCGTGATCGTCAGGCCGTGAGTGGCACAGTGTGAACAGCCGGTCACCGTTCCCATTCACTGTGCCAGTATCATAAGGATCGGTTACGTCTGACCACACCGCAGCACCACGCCCAACGCGTCCGTTAAAATCACCCAGCAGGAATAGCCGGTTGCTCTTCGGCACAAACCGTATCACCGAGTACAACTGAACGTAAAACTGAACCCTCGTGTCGTCAGGATAACACATGGTGGGGCCATACATACTAATAAACTGACAAATTTCCCTCTTGCAAGTCGTAGGCGAAGAGTCCAATCGTGAGTTGATACCGGTTGGCTCTTCCACCATGGGGTTATTTAGGCGCCCACATATTGCTAATCCTACCCTATCTCCACGTGGTGCTGTGGTGGCGTTTCCAACCCAGTATTACGTGGACCCAGCACCCGCCTCATGCAGCTTGCTCTAGTCAGCAGGCCGAGTGCGGTAACGTCAGTGCCGTCGCGCGCGAGTTCCATCACGATAAGTGCTGTGCGTTGCTCGGTGCGTTCGCTGCAGTTCCGGTCGAGTAGGGTGCGCACTTTCCAGTACCCGATGTTGATCGCTTCGCGCGGAGACATACGATTACGATGGCTGGCAATCGATCGGATGCTGATCTGGGTTGAAGTAGTGGGTTAGTGGAAATGGGGGGCTAGGATGGAATTGCGG